GTCGCAGTGGCGCCACGGCGCGTGGAAGGCCCGCCGCGGCCCCTCGGCGCAGCCGAAGAGAATCCGGGAGGCGACGAGGCTAGGGGGCGGAGGGAGCTGCGGAGGAAGGCGGCGTCGCGTCGGCTGGGGCCCCTGTTGACCCTGCCGCGCTGAGAGCAATGCCTGGCCCGGGCCGCGCCCGGTCCGCCGCCTGCTCGCTGCGCGCCCGTAATTGCGCTGGCCAGGGCGCCGTGCGCAATGAGGGGGTCGCAACAGAGGACGCCTGAGAAAGGGGCGGCGCCCCCCCCACCCTGGGGGGCGAGGCGGCAATCCTCAATGCACGAGCTGCCAGCGTCCATCACCACATAGACGGGGGCGGGTCCGGCGGGCGAAATGACAATGGAAGAGGGGGGGTGCCGAGCGCGACGCCCGCCGGCGCTGCCCCGCGGCCGGGCCAGCGCGGCCTCGGCGGGGCGCGTGGCGGGGCGCCAGGCGCGGCCCCGCCCGGGCAGCCTCCGCGCAGTAACGCACTGACGCCTCGCCGCACGAGGCCCCGATGGAAGTCTGACAATCCGAGACGGGGAAGCTGTCTGAAGATGTCATTCCACGCCTATACGATCGGCAACGTTACGTTTGCTTGCGCCCACGCAGCGGTCGCCGACCGCCTGCGTCCAGCCGCCCGGGACCCGGGCCGCCTTGAGAAACAAGTCCCTGTCAGGGTGGACGTCGCATTGTGTCGCTGGGGCTGGGCGTTTGGCACGATGTTTGGCGCGTGTATAACACCTGCCGAATTGGGCTCTCTCAAGCTTGTCCCCGTGGACCTCTTCGCCCCACTCGAGCGTGATATCCACTGCCAGAGCCTCCGCGCCCTCGCGCACCTGCTGTCGGCACAAGAGAGAAGTGTCATCAGCGAAGAGAAGGTCGATGAGTTTTTCTGCAAGGAAATGGGCGCGCTGAGAGCACCGGCGTTGTCTCGCCCCCAATTTCTCGGAGCGTCTCCACCCTGCTGCGGCCCCCGCGTCGGCGCCGAGGCGGGCTCGGGGGTCGCGAGGAACATTGGAGTGGTAGATGTTGAAGCAGACTGGGCTTGAGGGATCTACATCGAGGAAGCCTTTGTCCGATTTGAAGCGATCACCGAGGCCCTCTGAAGTGCGCGCCCGGTTTTGGCAGCAGCCGCGCCTTGGGCCACCTCGCGGAGCGCGCGCGGCACCCCCATCTTCTCGAAGACCTCGCCCGCGGCTTCTCGCGGGGCCGAAGGGTGGCCCTTTTCAATATCCAGCAGGGCCAGACACAAGGCGCCCACCATTTGCCAGTCGACCCGGCTCACTTCCGCCGCCTTTCTGGCCAGACATCGCAAACGTAAGTAGCGGGCCCATCGCGGGCCGTTCAGCACGGGCCCCCAAGTGAGACTGTGGAAATAAGTGATGTATTTCGACGCGTTGCTGGAGTCGGCTCGCCACAATCTTGCGCGATAGACGCACGGCGCACTTGATGAGCCATGGGGTTCTGTAGTCGCCCAGCCTGGCCCGGCCCCCTTTTTGCACCGCCGGCAACCACTCGCCTCCGAGATGTCGCCCCCCCGCGGGGATGGCCCCCCCCATTAATGCCGTACCGTGCCCCCCCGGGCATTCGAATAATTCCACCGCGATCTCGCCCCCCCTCCCGGCGCTGTCTTTCATCGTCGCAAAGCCGACGCGACTTCACCCGCCGTTGGCGCGCGTCCCAGAGCCTCGTCACTCGGGGCCCTGGGAAGCCCTCGGCCCATAGTGAGCGAGGAAATAATGGGCGGGCCGGAGCCGAGCTGGGCCAAAACATCCCGGATCTTTGCGAGAGCGCGCATCGCTTCCCCCTGCTTGGAGCGCCCGCGCGCGTGAACTCCAAGCTCATGCAGCGGGGCATCGAACGCGCGCAGTCCCCCCTCGCGCAGGCTGGTCTCCACTTGCCGACATATTTGGCTGACATAGCGTGCCCGGGCTCGCCGCTTGAGATGTTCCCAAGCCCGTCGATGTTTTTTTGCGCTGCGCTCGGCGAGGCACCTCGTGTTCGGCGCATCGAGCCTGAATCGCAGCCTGCCACGAATCTTCCATCTGGCAACGTAGAACCTCGATCTACACAGCATCGGAATATGTGCACGGCGCACCAATCGCATGTCGCGCTCGTCCCCTCCCCAGAATCGGTTCAGCTTCCCCCAGGAATGTGGTTTTGAGTGTGGTCCAAAGGTCGTCGGTCGGCGTGGTCGTCGCGTCGCGCGTCTGTGAGATCGTCGCGCCCCCCGCCCACCCCTCTTCCGTCGTCGCATTCGGCCCCTCCTCCAGCATCCTCGCCTCCAACCGCAGCTTGATGAGTTCGCGTCGCATTGTGGTATCACTCGAAGCGCCTCGCCGCCTGGCCGCGTTCGCCTCGGAGAGTCGCTTCCTCGCCATCGCGCGTTTCTTACATCGGATCGTGACCAGATGCAACGCGCATTCTCTCCCAATGCGGTCGGGGAGTTGGCGCGCGAGCTGAGCCCGAAGCGCCTGCG